CAAGAGTGGGCACGAGTGGCAGAGCCTGCCGCACCCGCTGCGTGGGAACCTGGGTACCGCCTGTGGATTAGCTTGGTGGCGGGCAGGGCGGCCGGGCTGGGCCAGGCCTTGGGGAGCAGGTTTGTCTGCCACAACTGAGGAACCTTTGTGTTTTGTTGCTGAGCTAGGGCTTTTGCAGGTCTGTGACGTCGCAAGGGGCCGGCCTGATACTGCCCTGCTGGCTCTGCACTTCTGGGAAGCCAGGCCACCAGAATGACCTAACAGGAGCTACCGTGGAGAAACTGAGGCACTTGAGCCCAAGTGGGGCCCATTGAGGAGTCATGGAAGAGCTGGAGAAAACAGACTTATTCTTTTGAATAAGAGTAGTTTCCTGGAGGGGGAGAGCCCCTCTGCTGAAGCCAGAGGTTCCCATGGATATTTGGCTTGATTTTCCCTCAGCTCTCTGTTTCTTCCTGCTGTGCCCAGAGTAGCCTCCTGCAGTTACCCCTAACCTGGAATCCCCAAGGTTCTCTGAACCCCAGTCAGTGGACTGCAGTGCAAGCCTCCTGCCAGCACCAAGGCTGCACAATTGAAGCTAGTGTCTGCATCGTCTCTTCTAAGGGCTGATGGAGGCTCTGGCAGGAACACAGAGCCAGGCCCTAGGAAGTCACATTGAGGTTGAACCCAAGTCAGTGTCAGTGGCCAGGTGAGAAGTGCCTTGGGCTAGGGCTGCTGTTCTGTGTCCCTGAGCAAGTGACCTTACACATCCAAATTTTATGAGTGGTGGTTGGTGTTGTCTGTCGAGCTCCAGCCTATCCCATGACAGTGGTCCTGGCTCCTTGGCCAGCCTCAGCTTCTTGTGTAAGAGGGCATCTGCAGGGAAGGAGAGACGGTGCTGTAGCCTGTACAGGGCCTTTGGGAGAGTCAGCAGGGTGTTTTCTAAGCCCTGACCTTGCCAGTACCAGGTGTGTCTTGATCAATGTGACCTGTAGCTAAACCTGCTCCTTCTCTTCCTGCTAGAGGTTCATAATCTGTTGGGAGATGGGAGGCAGATGGCACACATGTCACAAAGCAGAAAGCAAAGGGGTGCAGCTATTTGCTCTGTGCTCTTGGGGTGTGAACAGAGGCATTGGAAGAGGGGAGAGGGGGTCTAGTAACGCCCAGATCAGCACTCAGCATGGGATGGGTGCTCATTCAACATTAGCAGAGTGAAGATCCAGTTGTGGGGAGAGGCCTATTGCTTCATAAATGATGATGATGATGATGATGATGATGATAGCAATGAGAGTCACTGACATCTCCTGGGCATTTTATGTATGCTAAGGGCTGCTTTCATCTGATCCTTACAGCAGTTTTACAGGGCTAGTAATATTCATTATCAGAAAACCACCACTTTGCATATGAGCAGCTTCAGTGCAAATCAAGCCATAGAGGCCCAGTCACATACAAGGTCAGACAGCTGCTGGACGGCAGAAGTGGGATGCAAGTGCACACTGCCTGGTTCCTGCACCTGCTGCGGCAGCCACAGAGGAATCCTTCTGTGGGCTGGAGCTGCTAGTATCCATGTTCAGGTTGATAGGGCTGGAAGGTTTGGAGAAGCATGGACAAGCAAGGAGAAAAGACTGTGCAGTTCCCTGGGTGCTCAGGAGCAGGGTTCCCTCAATCCTTACCCCTCTCTCTGACCTTCCAGGTAAGGCTCAGGGCCCCCTTTGTTCTGAGAGCCCTAACTGTAGTCCTTTCTCTCCCTTTTCAGGGATGAACCCTGCCCCTTATGGAATCCACATTCTGGTCCTGCCTGTCACAGTCACCTGGGGTCTATCCCATGTGGTGACTAGGAGCATTTATCCTCCAGCTTATATCCTGGCACCGGCTACAAACCTGGGTTCTAAATCCCTGAGCCTGGAGTGGAGTTGGCAGGTGTGGGGAAGCAGGAGGGAGAGTGGGTAGGCAAAGTGCTCAGCCCCTCCTCTAACTCCAGAACTCTGGGATACCCATCACCCAAGCCCTCACCCTGTCCTTGCTAGCAGTCAGCTGGGACCCAGAGGCAAAGAACACAGGTGATTTTGCCAGCTCCTTAGGATACCTCTCAATCCTGCCCATCCCTGGGATAGAGGGCAGGACAGTATATGCGTTGGGGGGAGGGCGACACTTGGAACTGCCTCCCTAGCCCGCCCTGCAGTTGCTTCTGGAGTAGAGAGAACAACTCATTCCCCCACCCCACAGAAAAAAACACGGGGGTGGGGAAGGGCCACCCCTGCCTAGGGAGGGGTTGATGGATGCAGTGAGGCCCCTGGGATGCCTGACCCCCTTGTAACACCCCGCCACCACAACCTCACAGCCAGGCACAGTTGGCAAGCACCCCTCCTGGCACTGACACTGGTCTGAAGGATGAGGTCACTGCAGAAGACAAAGAAAATGAATGGCTGTCTACATGCCAGTGATGCACCTGTTAGCCCCCACATCTTCAGGGACAAGAGGACAAGATCCTTGAGCCTGGTGGGCTGTGCCCCCTGGCAAGTCCACTGTGGCTGGCACTAACTCCAAAATGGCTCACACTGCCCACACCCCTTCCCCCACCCTCACCTGTGGCCCTGAGCCCTCCCAACTGGCTTTTCCTGTTCCTAGTTTTGTATGGTGCAAGTTTCCCAATTATGCCCACATTATCTCAGCTACTGGGCAACCTCCAACAGGCTTGGGGAGTGGAGGCCGGGGGAAGGAGAGGGTGGAGAGCACCCAGTTATTCTGCCATGGAAAGCCTAGGGCTTAGCTGCTTGCCAGGCAGCCAGTCAGCAAGAGTGCTGTGCTGTCTGGCCCACTGACCTCACCATGGGACTGCGTCTGGGGTGGGGCCATGGGCTGTGCAGCCACCAGACAGTTAGGGCCAGAAAGAACCACTGAGAGGGAGGACTCCAGCTTGCTGACTTACAGAGTGAAATGGGGCTCAGAGGAGGGGGAAGTGAATGGCCAGGGTCCAACAGCAAGCAAAAGGCAGATGCTCCTCCCAGACTAGTGCCTGTCCCTCAGTACCTTCACCGGGGAGGTGAAGCAACCACAGACTGGCCAGGGGGACAGCTGGAGGGATGCAGATGGGGTACCTAGTGGGCCTGGGTAGATGTAAATAGACAGAGAAGGGTGAATATCAGGGACCTGGCTTGGTAAGTTCTTTCCTTTTTAAAGATTTTATTGATTATTTATTTGAAGGTCAGAGTTACAAAGAAAGATTGATGACCCACTAGTTTATTCCCCAAATGGCCACAATAGCTGGGGGCTAGGCCAAGCTGAACCCAAAGAGCTAAGAGCTTCACTCAGGTCTTTCACATCAGTGCCAGTGGCCCATGCACTTGGGCCATTTTCTACTGCTTTTCCCAAGCCATTAGTAGGGAGTTGGCTGGAAAGTACAATAGCTAAGACAAACTGGTACCCATTTGGTATGCTAGTGTCACAGGCAGTGGTTTTTATCTGCTATGCCATAATGTCAGCCCTACCCAGCGTTTCTTGTGCCTGCAGTGTGCTGGGCACTGGGGATTCACAACCACCTGCTCCCTTACAAAGGGAGAAGTGGAGGGCAGCTTAGGTGTTGACCATAAGTTGCAGTGCCACAAAGAAACTTGTGACCTCTCCTGGCTCCCCATAATGTGGATGAGGGAAATGGAAGCCCTAAATTCCTACTCTTGGGACTCAGACTTCCTCCAGGGGCCATTCAGGCCATCCTCCTGTGTTTGGGTCAGTGTAAGGCCTGGCATCGCCAATGTATTGATGGTGCTCAGTGACCTGAGTGAAGACAGGATACAAGGACGTGAAATGAACTAGTGTATGACACTATGTGACCATGATACTGCTGTGGGGCTTGCCAGGTCTCAGGGATGAGTGGGGGCTGGAGGACAGCCAGAGGTAGACAGCTGCCCCAGGTTGAGGGAGCAGACCTGCAGGCAAGGATGAGGAAAGTCAAACAGAACATTCTGTTTGGAATCCTACAACTATGGGGACACTGGAAGGAATTTATTCATTCACTCATTCACTCAGTACCACCACTCACTCCCACCTCATACATTTCTATTCTGTTGGCTTTCACTGTAGTTTGCATAGCAACAAATATTTGCTGGTATCTACCGGATGCCAGATGCTTAGGTGGGTACCAGAGTGCATAGATGGAAATAGCACAGGCTCTTCCCTGGAGAGGCTCACAGCCTGGGGAAAACACACACCCCTTATTCCAAAGCAGAGAACAGAGTAGCCAGATTGGCTCTGGTTGGTAGGGTCACGGAAACTGCCCAGAGGAGGTGACCTCAGTGGTGGTGCCTTGGCAGGGAAGGGGATGAGCTTCTGGATAGAGGGATCTGCATAATCATTATAGTTGTTGCAAGGGCATTCAGTGCTCTCTGTCAGCCAGAACTGAATTGCGCATTGATGTGACCAAAGTACAGATAATAGGTCCTGTAGCAGAGGTCCTCAGCAAACTATAGTTGAATAAGGAGGAAGGGAGGGAAACATGGAAATGTAGTATGTTCTGTTTTTGTTTTAAGATACATTTGTTTATTATTTGAAAGACAAGTTTACAAAGAAGAAAGAGAGAAAGATCTCCCATCCACTGGATTTCTCACCAAATGGTCATAATGGCCAGAGCTGAGCCCAATAGAAGCCTGAAGCCGGGAGCATCTTCTGGGTCTCTCATATAGGTGCAGGGGCCCAAGAACCTAAATGCCATCCTCTACTGCTTTCCCAGGCCACATTTGTAGATGAATGAATGGGTGGATGGATGGATAGATATGTTGATAGAGAGGAAGGCAGGGAAGAGGGAAGACAAGTACTACAAGATGACTGATCTTTTTGATGGCTGGGCCACAGGGTGTTGCCCTTTTCTCCTCTTTCAATATGGCCCAGAATATTGTAACAAGTAATTAGTACTTTTATGACAAGTATAACAAGAATAATGACTGATATAAATGAAAAGACCAGCATATGGGGAGTTGAGTGGGGAAATTTGAGCCCGGACTGACCACTTCTGCCATCTTCCTGGCCAGGTGCCCACACACAGGTGGTGCAGGTGAATGACTCCATGTATGGCTTCATTGGCACGGACGTGGTACTACACTGTAGCTTTGCCAACCCACTGCCCAGCGTGAAGATCACCCAAGTCACGTGGCAGAAGGTGACCAATGGTACTAAGCAGAATGTGGCCATCTTCAATCCAGCCATGGGTGTCTCAGTGCTGGCTCCCTACCGCGAGCGTGTGGAATTCCTGCGGCCCTCCTTCACGGATGGTACCATCCGCCTCTCCCGCCTGGAGCTGGAGGATGAGGGTGTCTACATCTGCGAGTTTGCCACCTTCCCTACGGGCAATCGTGAGAGCCAGCTCAACCTCACTGTGATGGGTAAGCTGGTCTGGGCCCCACCTTCTGCTTAGCCAGAGTCCTGGGGAGCTGGGCCATCCTTAGTTCCTGCCTTCATGGCCCCAGACAGCTTCCTCAGGTGGGGATCAAGGGCAGGGACCTTAGCTCTGGATGGAGGTAGGGTCAGGATTCAGGTTAAGTCACATCCTGGGAAGCAGCAGCAGCAGCACCAGATACTACAGTAAGGATACTGTCTGATCGAACTTGCCAAGGCTCTAGGAAGGTACTAGTTTGATGAAAGCTGGCCCAAAGGGAGGACAGAAAGATCAGACTGGGCTTGGGGGAAGCAGCTTGAGAAGCAGGGGTGACCCGGGTGGGCTTGAAAGCAGGGCTGGGCTGGTGCCATGTGCCAGGCAGTGGAGCTGGTTCCCATGGCACTTTCTGGTTCCCACAGCCAAGCCCACCAACTGGATCGAGGGCACCCACACTGTGCTCCGTGCCAGAAAAGGGGGCGATGACAAGGTCTTGGTGGCCACATGTACTTCAGCCAATGGGAAGCCCCCCAGTGTGGTGTCCTGGGAGACGCGACTGAAGGGAGAGGCGGAATACCAGGAGATCCGGAACCCCAACGGCACGGTGACTGTCATCAGCCGCTACCGTCTGGTGCCCAGCAGGGAGGCCCACCGGCAGACCCTGGCCTGCATCGTCAACTACCACATGGATCGCTTCAAAGACAGCCTCACCCTCAACGTGCAGTGTGAGCAGGGCCTTGGCGGGCGCCACTGTCCTCCCAGCCACCCCCCCTTCCCTTCTCCCTCTGCTTCCCTTTGCTGCGTGTGCTCGACTTCCAAGATGTCCATCTCACTCAGCCTATTCTCACATCACTGACCCTCCCATCCCTTCCTTGTCTTAAGTCCTGCTCCCATGACATCACCCTCTTCAAAACTCACCATCCTTTGCTCTGCAGATGAACCTGAGGTAACCATCGAGGGCTTTGACGGCAACTGGTACCTGCAACGGATGGACGTGAAGCTCATATGCAAAGCCGATGCCAACCCCCCGGCCACCGAGTACCACTGGACCACGTAAGATCTGTGGACCCAACTGGTCCCTTGGGACAATACCTTCCTGGGTCACAGGGGCCTACCTGTCCTACGTGCTGGGGCTGTCAGTGAGAAAGATGTTGGGGTCTGGACTCAAGTTTCTCAGGGAGAAGGGATGTGGCCATGAGAGGAACCCCACACCCAACTCACACACTCACACATACACTCACACGAACCCTTGTGATCTGCTTCCCTCCCTCCCCGATCAAGAATGTTGCCATTTCCCTTAAATGATTCAGCTCAAGTCACTCCCACCCCAGCCCCCAGTATTTATTTTTATCGAGATATCCCTGTGGGAGGCTGGCATTCTGGAGCGGCCCAGATGTCTGTTTGTTCTCGACACCCTTCGGGCTGTCTGGAGAGAAGCTACAGCCAGCCCATAAGGTCTTTGTTCATGGGATAGCGGCCCCATGTCCCCATCATCCTTTTCCCTAGCTGATTCTTGATGTAGTTGATGGGATTCCAGGGCACCTTCCAAAGAGAGCTGGAAGCAACACACAGAAAGAGAGTGAGGGAAGTTGAGAGGATAGATATGGCTGGAAGAGCATGGCACACAGTGTGAGGTTGTACCCTTCCTCGAACATACTATACCTGTTACCCTCCACTTCCCAGAACATAGGATGCATCTGCAGGTGGGAGTGACCAGAACCTGCTTGCCAGTTTCAGCTGTGCAGACCAGTTGCTGCCAGGCTCAGCAAAGTGATAGCTTTGTAGCCATGGGGACCAGGAGGAAAGAAGATGGTTCCCCATCCTTGGCAAACTCCCAGGATGCTCCCCACATGGAAAAGTCTTGTGAATTGGCTAAGAAAACAAGATGGTGAAGTGGAATACAGCAGTTCCATTTCACCACCTGGGTCGCTTATAAAATACAGATTCCCAGGCCTCCGTACCAATGGCTCTGCCTTGGGAGTCCAAGGATCTGGCCAGAGCCCTTGTTCTGCTGCTTCCTAATCCTTGGCCTGGAACCTCACATTTGTTCCATTCAATGGGACCTGTACCCACCTGTCCTGCCCACATGTCAATATTAGGATAATCAGATACAAATCCCTGAATACTACTACAAAACTGCCTGTTGCAGTAGATAACTGCTATAGTCCTTCCTCCTCCTGACACAGAGCCTGTCCTATGACCCCAGCACAAGAGTGATAGGCTTGAAGCCCAGTGGGTGACCCCAGGGCAGCTTCCTAGGACAGATACTTATAACCCTAGACTATGTCTCCCAATTTCTACAGGCTGAATGGCTCCCTCCCCAAGGGTGTGGAGGCCCAGAACAGAACCCTCTTCTTCAGGGGTCCCATCAACTACAGCCTGGCTGGGACCTACATCTGTGAGGCCACCAACTCTGTTGGCACCCGCTCTGGCCAGGTGGAGGTCAATATCACAGGTAAGAAGCTACTTCCTCCCCTGCCATTCCCAATCCACAGTTCCTGAACTGCCTACGTCCCGTACCATTGGATGATGTCTTGGTGAGAAGTCACCGTCTCTACCTTCTGTTTCTCTGATTTGCTCTTGAGCTTTGGCCATTGGTCTTGCTTTGATTTTTTCTTTGGTTCACTTGAGGCTGTAAGAGAGTCAAGAGTGATGCCCAGTCAGAAAGGGGCAGGAGGACCCAGCTGTGGGGGGGAGGAGAAGGGAGTGCAAGGGTCAGAGTCTGCTGTGGATCTACCAATAGAATACACCTGCAGGGATTGGGTGCTGGTAGGCAGTGGGAGGAGGGGTCTGCAGATGATGCTAACCTCCTCCAGGCTCTGCACTTGCAGGGGATTGCAAGATGCGGCCCCAAGCAGAGAGGAAGCAAGTGTGTATCTTAAGACCATGATGGCTTCTGTGCTCTACAGCTGCACTACTATATCCCCTGCACCTTTGTTTTGCCTGGAGTAGATGGCGGTGCTGAGCCACCTGACCTCTCAGGACAAAGAAAGCAAGGGCCAGGATGTTCTGGGTTGGAATTTATGTAGAATATGGAAGGAACGTGGGCTTGTTGTTAACCTGCCTTGTTCCTGGACAAACTCCTTGTCTGTATACTGGGAACCCACCTTCAGGTACTATTGTCAAAAAAGTGTATGTCATGTAAAGCAAGCAGCCTAGCACAGCTGAGTGGGTTAACAGATGGCCAGTGTGCTACAGTCATTACGGTGACCTCCATCGTTGGCATTATTATTATTAGTGGAGACATCAGAACAAGCCAGTAGAGAGGGAAACTGCCATCACACTGTCCCAGAGGGTGTTCCTTTGACACTGTACCTGAGCCAGTTGCAAGGTGAGAGCAGGACAGGAAGAACCTCCCAAAACAGGAAGTATCATCTGGCTGTTGGACAGGAAGTAAGTTGGACAGGAGATGACTTCAGGGATACCAGGAACTGGATGGTGGCAAGCCCTTGGCTGTGAGCCTGAGTCCCAGGACCGAGAGGCCTCCTGTGTGGGCACATTTAAGACACAGCTGCAGAAAGCTGAGAGCAGCTCTGAGCTGCTCCAAGCTGCCCTGGGGCTGTGTGGACCTATCGTCGGAGTCTCCATCACCTCTTCTTGCCTAGATAGGAATGAGAGTCACTGGCTGTGTCATTCAGTGCCCAGCCCTTGGCACTAGGGGTGGTGGTGAGGGATACAAGTATCCCAGTTGGAGCATGGAGAAGGAAAGGCCAGCATTACGTAGTTCTCCCACAATGAGGCAGTTGTAGCAAAGGGCAGGCAGAGCCCAAGGCATGGGGCACTGGCCTTGCTGAGCACCTGCAGGGAGGCAGCCTCCTTCCAGGGACAGCACAGATGTGGCCTGGGCATGTCCACTGCATCTGCAGTTGAGGATTGCTTCCTTCTTCCCAGCTGTGGGTCCCTGAGAAGCATCTTCACTTCTGTAAACTACACAGCTTCCCAATCTGTGACCTACAGACACTCCTCCTCCCTGGTTTCTTACAGTCTTGTAGCACTCCCTGCATGCCAGTCTCTTCCTCCGTTACCCCCTTCCCAGGTAGACCCCTAATAAAGCCCTACTTCCCCTCCCACCACCACCACTACCCAGGCTGGGGAAACGGCTGATGGCAGTGTCAGGAGGAAGCAGAGAAAACCCCAAAGCAACTCTCCCTACCAACCCTGTTCTCTGGTATGAGAGGGGGTTGGCCAGAGGCTCTGACAGACCGTGTGCCCAGCCCAGAGGTTGGGCTAGGGCAGGAGAGCAGTGGCCTCCCTTCTGACAAAGCCAGGAGGGAGGCAGGTGACTTCAAGGGCAGAGCCGCTCGTTAGGAAACCAGACCCAGGAACAGGGAGGAGAGGGAGAGACACAGGACACTGTCTATCTAGTACTCTCCCTGGAGGTCTATGGTCAGGCCCAGATGGCACCTAGCATTGTGGCCTGAAGGACAGATGGCCCAGGGCTCCAGCTGGAAGAGGAATGCGCCATGACTGTGTTGGTGATGGCACAAATAGGCAGGAGCTAGAGAAGTATGATTTGCACAGAATCCACAATAGGTGCAGATGCCATGAGGCTAGCCTGCCCCGTGGAGTGTCTAAGCGGTGGAGTGTGGGGGACTCAGCCTGAGGCTTTGTGGGGCTATCTGTGCTTTCAAGCACTCTCCTCACAGCAGCCAGTCTCTCCACCCTTCATCCCATGCTCATCCTGCTGTGTGCTCCAAGCCTCACTGCTCTGGAGGCAATGCATGAGTGAGAAGGAGAAGTAAAAATTTAATTTTTCATTTCAGCCATCCATTTGGGTAATAGCTTTGCTCTGGGAGCATCTGGACGGGGAAATGAAGAGCAGCTGGGGTGGGGCAGGAGAAGGTTGGAGCATGGGCCAGACCTGAGGATGCACCTAGAGGGCTCCTGAACAGTAGTGGTGGAGCTCTGGGTCCCCAGGCAGATGGAACTTGTGGAAGACAAGTGATTGCAGTGAGTGGGTAGGGATGGAAGGAACCAAGCCTTCTCTCTTTTGCCCATGGGGTACAGAGCCTTCCCTTCTCTGCAGGTAGAGAAGGGGCCGGGGCCCAGGATAATGAGACCAAAGGAGGCAGCATCTGTCCCTGGGGTGTAAGGAAGTGAGTGGCAGAGCCTCTGGCTGGGACTCAGCCTCTTGTCCCTCCCAAATGCAGGGCAAGGAAGAAGCCACTAGCATTTTTCAGTGAAGTCAGGACCTATCCTTGGGGAATGAATCTGCCCATTGGAGGGTGTCAAGGGAGGGCTAGCCAGACCCTGGTGCTAGGCCTTCCAGCCATGGAGCGGAGAGGTTGTATAAACCCATGCATACATTTGCGCATGTATGTTTAGGTCTCAGTGTGGGGACCACTTTCATGTGCAGAAATGGGAGCTTGTCTGCTGATTATGCACTTGGGACCCCTCAGAGATATGCCTGAGCCAGACCTGCCCTCCTGCAAGCTGGCAAATGGCAGCGTAACTGGCAGTATCAGAGAGCAGCTGTGGCCTGGAACTCTAGGAGGACAAAGCCCTGCCTGCTGGCTTGACACAACCACACAGCTGCTGCAGCTGCAGGGGTAGGAGTGGGACCCACCCTGCGGCTGGCCACACTGCATCTGGGAGGTATAGTTCTTGGAGTTTCCCGCCCTGAGGAAGTACTGGGCGATGGTTTTGAAAGCAAGCCCAGACATCATGTTCTTTGACCCCAGACATCCTCCAGAGCTTAGATTCAGGCTGTAAACCCTCACTTCATCCTGGACCCATCCAAAACTCACCCCCACACCAGCCATCCACCCCACTCAGGGAGCCAGGACATGCAGGGTCACTATCTTCCCATTGTCCCAGCCAGGCTGAGCCCTGAGAGAAAAACCTGTGACTCTTTGGGAATGGGGTCAGGCTACCCTCTGTGAGAGGGTGGGAGGGAGGCCCCAAAGCCCCCGCCAGCAGGCGTGACTCCCATGCTCTCTGGGCTCCTGTCTTTCCAACAATGCTGCTGGCCCTGAGGCAGCAGCTCCTGGCTGACTCTTGACAGCAAGTGGGCTGGAGGGATAGGGAAGATGCTACTCCCAGCCCTTCTTCCCGCCAGTAACCTGAGCTCCCACTCTCCCACTACTAGCATCTTCACACCGAAGTCTCCTACCTTCAAAGTACCCAAAATAACTGTGGTTCTAGGTCCCTAGAGATGAGTAAACCTTCCTAGTGTTTCCTGGGGAGAAGTTCAAGAGAAGGACCCAAAGGGAAAAGACACCCAGCCTAATCCCAGCTCCTAGCTATGCTCGTATTCCCCTTGTCTTCCATGGCAGTGATGTGTTGAATGTCTCACCCTACCTAGAGCAGGGCTAACTTCTAAGTCATAGTTTTTTCTGTGGAATTCTTCGTTCAAACAAATAGTTTTTGAACAATGGCCATGTGCCCAGCAAGCCAGATGCTTGGGATGTGGCAATGAATCAAACCGACCATGTCCCTGTTCTTGTGGTGCTGGAATTGACATGTTGAAGGTGAACTGGAGAAAGGGACAGAAGCAGGGAGATCATCGGACGGGGGCCTGCAGGCTTATGAGCTGCAATTTCAGAATGGCTGAGGGGTTGAGAGTCTCAGTGGAGCAGTGATGGAGGGGAGGAAGGGAGCCACAGGAACCCATGGGAAGTGGATACTGCACAGGCCCTGCAAGAGAGCTGGTAGGAAGGCAGGAAGAGGTGACATCAGCTGTCGGGACAGGGCACAGGTGACACAAAGTACACTAAGTTCTGCAGATATGGTCTTTTACTGTAACAAAGGATTGCTGTAGGACTGCAAGCAGAGGAGATGATTTGTCCCAAAGTCTCATTTACAAGCTGGTTTGAGACAGATAGCAAGTGCAGTGAGGAGAGTTTTATTTGCCTCTGGTCTCTGCTGTTGGAAGTAGCTCCAGTGGGACCCTTAATTGGGCCACACCCATCACACTCAGTTCAACCCTTGGCAGACTGATTGAAGAAGCAGAGCTTGTCACACTGAATGCTAATTTGCATGTATTTGCCATGGGATCAGGCATTACTGTACCACGTCATGTGTGGTGATGATGGAGTGGAATTAGCCATTGTTCAAACTGATGAGAGGTATAGGTCGTTAGTACATAAAAGGAACTCTATAAAAAGAGTAGAGGGTCCATGAGAGCCAGAGAAGGGAATATTGCATGAGGCATGTGCTTTACTCGGCAGCAGTGAGGCAAGGCGGACCTGGCGCGAGTAGAGGTTTGCACAAGGACACTGACTCATAGTGTATTGAGTCAGAAAGTTGCCCGATGGAGACCTCAAAGGCCAGGCTGTACTGCCTGACAGGCAGCTGAGCATTCGTTGCTGGTCATATAGATGGAGCTTCCCTGAAAGTGACCCCACAATAAATCCCATGGTAGAATGCAGAACTGAGAGAGTTCAGGAGACCTGATGGCAATTTTTAACCCAAGAGATGCCAAAGAAAGAGTCAAAAATGAATGAGATTCTCAGCTGGAAAAGTCACAAATGGTGATGGCAGTGGAGGACTCAGGGGACTTGGGTTGAATAGAGGGGGGTTGCATAGAGGATGGAGAATCAGGTGGGAGAAATGGGTTATGAGTTGGAGGTGAGAAATTACATGAGGTTGAAATAGAGGATTCTGTTTTGTGCATGTGTGTGCGTGCGCTGAGGTGGTCCTGGGTGTGTAGGAGTCAGAAGCCCAAGCTTTATGTTCCGGTAGGTTGAGAGACACTGCATCACACATGAACCTCTTAAAGCTCACAGCACGCAGGAGAAGCTGGGGGAATCTGCTGCTTTATCTAAGCCACTGTTTCTCAAAGTGTGAGAGCCCAATGCTTTTGCCAAGCCCCTAAGCAAGTGGTTTGAGGTTCTATGGGCCACAGTTAGGGAAATGATATCTGAGAGATCATTGGAGTTAAAAGCCCAGAGTTGGGTGGAAGCCAGCAGGATGAAGGTACTAAGTGAAACCAAGACCAGTCTGTCACCAGGGCACACAGCCAAGTTAGGGCTAAGTGTCCAAGGATGAAACCTTAGGGAGACAGGTGAACAGAGACAGAGTCCAGCAATGCAGCCAGAGCCTGGAGGTGCAAAGCCAAGAGCCAAGGATTCTGGTGTCAAGACGAGAGGCTGGCCCTTCCAATCTGGGCACTGTCCTTATTCCCTTGGTCTCTCCAGGTTCAAACCATGCTTCAATGCTAGGCGGGATTCAGCCTGCTCCAAGTCTATAACTACAAGCTACAATCAGGCCTCTTGTGTCCTGGTACTCCCAAGCACTTGGCTGCTTAACTCCTTGGTGTCTCTTGAGGGTGTTATGTCTGAGTGGCACTGGCCACCCCAGCAAGGCTATGAGCATCTCGTGTCCTGTGACAAGTGAGCATTTGCTGATCCCTGGGGTGCAGGGGTCAGCTTGTGGCTGGAGAAGAAGGCAGATGCAGAGGGAGAGATGTTTTGGATCCAGAACTGAGGAGGGAGCAGACAGGTTGAACTGTGGAAGAGGCTGGGCTCCTCCCACCTCCTGGGGAGCAGGTGTAAGTCCCTTCCAAGGTGGTAAACAAACAGGGATCTGGCCAGCCAGAAGGAGCTTGGGGGTTCCCAGGAGACCATCCTGAGACAGGCAGTCAGGACAGAGACTCAGTAAATAGTTACTGGGTGAGGGCACAGCAGTAACACGTGGGGCATCAGGTCCTGTCAGGGAGAGGGGTATGCATCTCTCTGCCACTTGTGCATGTGCATGGCCAGGCGCAGGAGCCTGGGGCTGGTCCCAGCTTGGCTGTGTGGCATTGGGTGGAGGGTCTCCCTTCCTCCAACCCCTGCTTCTCATTAGCCCTGCCAGAATGAGCTCCAGGAAAGCCTCTCCTTTTTCCTAGAATCTCCACCCTGGCACTGCCTGCTGCAGGCAGCCTCCCACTTGCTCTCACATGGGTTGCTTCCTGCCCCTGCCCCCCAGTGAGGAGTGGGCTCTTAGGAGGAGCCAATTCTGATGGAATGAGTGATGCTGAATCAAGGCCTGAGCTGGCAACAAGTAGGCTCCCAGGGGCTGGAACATAAACCCTTTACCTTGGCTTGAACTTGAACTGGAAAAGAACAGAAGAGGTCAGCCTCTGGGCTTGACCCTACCCCTTAGTCCAGTGCCTCCTGACCAAGCCAGCCATGGTCTTCGGTGCCACCCTGTGGTGGTGCTGGGAACCACCTCCCTCAGCCTCACCAGAGACCTCTTTGGCCCCGAGTATGGGAAGAAAAAAAGCAGCAGGGCTCAAAGCAGAACGATAGGTGGCCTTCCCTAACCACCCACTCCCCCCAACTCAGAAAATCACCCAGCCAGTTTTCTTTTCCCGCCTACTCCTTCCATATACCTTTGCTGCCTTCTGTCCACAGTGTGCACATTTTGGTACATCCACATACTTCATCTCAACATAGCCTGTGCTGTGTGAACATGCGCCCCTGGGCACGGGTATGTGCATATGCTCACGCTGTATGCTCAGCATCTCTGCTGTGTGTGTACACAGCCCTGCTGTGTGCTCGTACCTTGCCCTACGGGGTGTCTGCTTGTAGTCCAGGCTATCAGCACTGCCAGGCCTCCACCTTTCACACTGCAGGGCCAAACCACAGCCAAGAGTCAAAGCCCTGGATTCTGGCACCTTGACCTCTGGTTGGCACTTGCAGGGTATCTGCTGGGCCAGTACCCAGGAACCTGTTTGCTTGTGTGTTGGGCAGAGGTAATCAGGCATGAACTGACCGGCCCTGGACTCTGGCTCTCTAAAGCCAAGGTGATGGTATGGCACAGAGAGACACGTGAGATGTTTGTACAGGCTTCACATGCAAGAGAAGCAGCACTGTATCACGGGCTCGGTGGCTGGGGGCAGGTATTAACCTTCCCGTGTCTGGCCTCCTTGTGTACAAAATAGAAGTGGTTAGCATCTCCCCACTTTCCAGGGTGGTGACAGCATATGGTGCCTGGTGGATGCTGTGCCTGAGCCCCAATACACCACAAAACAAGGTCCAGTAGGGCTGGCACCCCCTCCAAAAACAGCTGGGATGGAAGTCCCTGGTGCTATGGGTGCTGGCTCCTGCCTCTGTCCTCTTGCCTGTGTCATCTCAGTCATTGGTGCTGCTGCACAGTTGGTCTCCAGGGAGATGCCAAGGAGCCTCTGGAATGAGAACTGCTCAGTTTTGTCCTGGGCCCTTAGGCCCCACTTCCTGGCCTTTCCTGCCCCTTTTTTCCCACCCTCCTTTTTTTTTCCCCCCCGGCCTCCACCCTCCCATTCCTAGTGATGCTGACTCTGTCCCCTCCGTCTCTTTTCCTCTCCCAGAATTTCCCTACACCCCATCTCCTCCCGAGCATGGACGGCGTGCCGGCCAGATGCCCACGGCCATCATTGGGGGCGTGGCGGGGAGCGTCCTGCTGGTGCTGATTGTGGTCGGCGGGATCGTGGTAGCCCTACGGCGGCGCCGGCACACCTTCAAAGGCGACTACAGCACCAAGAAGCATGTGTATGGCAATGGCTACAGCAAGGCGGGTATCCCTCAGCACCACCCTCCCATGGCGCAGAACCTGCAGTACCCTGACGACTCTGATGATGAGAAGAAGGCTGGCCCACTGGGTGGCAGCAGCTATGAGGAAGAAGAGGAGGAGGAGGGCGGTGGAGGGAGTGAGCGCAAGGTGGGTGGCCCCCATCCCAAGTACGACGAGGATGCCAAGCGGCCCTACTTCACTGTGGATGAGGCTGAGGCCCGCCAGGATGGCTATGGGGACCGGACTCTGGGCTACCAGTATGACCCTGAACAGCTGGACTTGGCTGAGAACATGGTTTCTCAGAATGATGGGTCTTTCATTTCTAAGAAGGAGTGGTACGTGTAGCCCTCTTCCAGAACCTCTGTCTGTGCCCACTGCTTCCCAGCCCTACCCGCACGCCCCCTACCCTCCTCCCATCCTGCCCTCGTCCCCCACTCCTCCTGGAGCTCCACAGAGACTGGTCCCAGCTCCCAGCGAGCAGCCCAGTGCGGAGGACTTAGCTTTGGTTTAATCCCCACCTCTCCCCAGCCCTCCCCATGGTGTTGTGTTGACCGTGGCTTTGGTGTTTCTGTATTTCCCCTCTGAAGACCCCACCCACCCTCTGTGTAGGGAGCCCCTGTTCTCGTCTTGTGTTACCTGGATGCCCCTCCAAAGCTGCGGGAGCCATCCTTCCCCAACCCTCACCCCTGCCGCAACACTGGAATTTGTGTTTTCTTCTCTAGGGGTGCAGGGCTAAGAGGGCACCAGAGGAAGAGCCCTGCCCCAACCCCAAATGCTGCTCCTTCTCCTAAGGGAGAAGGACCCCTCTCTCCCCAACCACCATCAGCTGGCCCCAGTTTTGACAGCCAGTGCACATACAGGGTGGGGGGACTACTTATCTAGAGTCCCCAGGGGAGTCTCACTTTTTAGGAAGGGCCTAGGACCTTGAGGAGTGTGTTCACCTGATGAGGTTGATTTCACATCATGTATTTCTTGGCCTATGGGTAGTCCGGCTGGACCAGCTCTGGCATGTTACACTCTACTCCATTGCTCCCCTTCCCCCCAACTGGGGCTCCCCGTGGACCCTGTCCACACAGCCTCTGCCAGCTCATGCTCACATGCACCTGCAAATGCCTCACTCACTGTCAGAGCCTACAAACACTGCCCAAGGCCTGTCCTATGCTCTCCCTCTTCCCCACTGCCCAGCAGAGGATGGGGACAGCCTGGGGAAGCCTGCAGGAGCAGCAGGGTCTTCCCCGTGATCCTTCCACTCTAGGCTCTCAGGCCAGCCCAGCCTCTTTCTTCTTCCACCGTGGGCTTTTCTAGGATCTTTCCCCCTTAGCCATCAAGTGCTTGATTTTCTTGCAAAGTCAGGGCTGGGGTCCCAGTAGGGACTTTCTCTCTGACAGTAAGAGGCAGTATGTTCCACTGGGGTGGAAGGGTTTGCGGAGAGACCCATCATGAGGTCACAGGGCCTGGCAGAACTGTGATGGGTGGGAACAGCCAACGAAGGAGTAGCCTGGGGAAGCCCTCCTGTGAGTGAAGACGCCTCTGGGCTCCCGTCACACCCAGGCCTGGGCTTCCCTTGCAATGGAGTAGGAAAACTCCTCTCAGCACTCTCATCCTCCAGCTCAAAGTGCCTCACTTCCTCCCTCTGCCCCATCAGGCACCCTTGGCACTCTAGATGGGCATGCTTATGGGAAAGACCCTGGGATGGTAGAAACAGGCCCCAAGGCTCCTTACGCCTGCCCATTAGAGTCCTATCAACTCAGCCCAGGCCTTCAGGGGCTCTGGGGCACAGCAAGTATTAGGTGGCAGAAGGCAGGCACCATGCCCTATGGGCACTGGCCTTCCCTGCCCCAGGCTTCCTAAGGGAGCCACCAGGCCCTCCACCCTGCACCCTCCCTGGTGCTGCTATTGAACCCCACCCAGGCTCCATGTCCACCCTGGCCACCCTGGGCCCACTGGCAGAGCCACCCTGGCCCAGCCCTCACTGCCCGAGCCCAGCCCAGGCTGCCCAGTAGCCACGTAGCAGAAGTCTGAAGCCATGCCAGTCCTCGGTGGCTCTCTCCTCTTGGCATTGGGATGAGGCGCACTGCAGGGGTGGAATTGGGGGAGAAAATTCTGGGGTCTTCCTAGCCATGAGGCAGAGGGGAGCTATGTTGCTTCTTCCTTCTCCTTGCAGGAGATCTCATCATGGTACATCACAATCCCACCCTACCCCATGCCATTCTGACTCCTCCACTTCATCCCCTTGTCCCCAAGTGAGAGACAACCCCAGAGGCCTGCCTGACAGAGGCATATCCCTGTCCCCCTGAAACCACAAGGCTTATCCTCCTCTAGTGTCTCCCTTATCCTGCACTGCCACCCCTGTTCCTCCTTCTGTGATGGGCTTAGGAGGCTGGCACTCACCCAAAGCACTGAAACCTCCTTTAAGACAGCTCCACCTGCCCCACCCTCCACCCTGTCCCAAACAAAGCACAATTTATGGGGTCTAGGCAGCATGGGCCACGTGGGGAGACTCCTGCCTCGCTATAGCCCAGCCGACCAGGGCAGCTGCTGCTCTGAGCTGGGAGTGGGCAAGAGGCAAGGGTCAGTGCTTGGGCTTAGGGGCACTGGGTTTCCTGAACCAGTGCCCCCCTTGCTGCTGGGGCCATGGACAGCCTGCTGGCAGAGGGAGGCCTGGCCCGCTGGAGAGAGAGGACATTTGCTTCTCCTTCAGGCTCAGCAGGAGCTGAGCTGCTGCTTGGCAGGAAATGAAATAAACCTGGGATTTACAGTGCCAGGGCCTCCCGGGTTGTCATCCTGCCTTTCCTTGCCCCACCACCCCCTTCTTTCCTGGCAGATCTTAATCTTGTTGTAAGGGGCAACAGAACCGTCCTGGGTCCCCTGCACCAGAAGGACCTGATGATAGCAGCACCGAGTCAGTGAACATGGGCATACACGGGCGATCACCTTGGGCCCAGCACTTGTGCACGCGCATGCACACACACCCCCAGCAGCTGAGCACAGGCATGTACACGTATGCACGTACACACACACACACACACACACACACACGACTGGATAGACACTGAGCATAGGTACAGGCCCAGCAGAGAGGCTGATCCCTTGGGAGAAGCTGCATTAGCAGTGCTTGGGCTATCAGTGAGCCATCAGGTTCTGGGGCCTGGACACAGAGTGCCCACTGCACTGGTGTGGCTGTTTTCTTGCCATCCTCAAGGCAGAAGAACCAGGACTAACCAAGTCAATGGGCAGCCCTGCAGACACTAGCAGCCTCTTTCTCCTGGGAGGAGAGGGGCTGCTCCCAGACCTCTGGGGGTCCAGACAGAGCCTTCCCCACTCTCCCTGAAACCTGACTGCCAACACAAATCCTCTCCTGATGAGGGGCACATGGATCCCCACAGCCAAAGGGAGAGCCTCTCTGGGCCTGGCTGCCCCTGGCCCGCTTCCAAGGCCCGAGGGGAGCCCCTGCCCGACCCGGTGCTGCTGCTCTCCTGACCCCTGCTGTGAGGAATGGGACTCTTGGCTGAAAAAAAAAAGTTGATAATTCCTTTTTTTGTACAAATGCAACAAAATCCAGGAGAAGCTGCTCCCCCTACCCCACCTTTCCTCTACGTGCGAGTCTCCCCACCCTCCTTTGCTTCGGTTCCTCCATCACTGTTTTGTCTTTGGTCCTAGGGACAGCCCAGCAGATTCTCCTGGTTCTGACCCAGGGGGTGCTTGCCTCACCCCCTTTTACTTATGTAAAAAAATGGGTTGAAAAGTGTACTGAAGAAAAAATATGTACTTTTTTATAAATAAAGTGTTTAAAACAAACCTGTGGACTATGTGTCACTCCTCTGGTCGCCCCGCTGTGGCCCCTCCCCAGTGGGGCAGAAAGCAGAAGGAAAACACCACGTGCACCCTCATCCCTAGATGCTAGCTTCTGTGACTGGGACACAGACCTTGGGTGGGGACCTTGTACCCCCATCTTGTAGGGGTACACTCCTAAAGAGGTTTAGCTCAGGCTACCATGGAGTCCAAGATCCAATGGTGGGAGATCTCCAAAAGGAGCCCCGACAAGACCAGGGGCTTATAGTGGCTGGAAACTGTCCCCTGTACATTCCTTCTCCTCACTGTCCTTGCCATTTCCTCTCCCGAGTCTACAAGAAAACTAGCAATGTCCCACCGTATTGAACAGATCCTAAAGGACAGAGACCAGAGGGGAGCTTCACCAGAGGCTGAGACCCAGCCCCCATTCTCCCCTGGGGACTGGGTGGGGGAAGGATTGTGAGATCCTGGGTCAGCACCTCCTTCATCTCCTCCTCCCCACTCCAGCACCATCTGCTTCCCATCTCCTGTGCTGGAATGCAGGACAAATTGATCCCAGGGTGGAGTGGCAGGGGCTTTGGGGACTGCCTGCCCCCCAGCCTCCCTCAGTAGCATCTCTTTTCATTGAAATGCACACCACCCAGCCCCTGGAGGGAGGGGAAGCATGGTCAAAGCCCTCCTGCTGAATCGGGGGCCCAGCACGTACTTCACGCCAGAACTGAGCAGGATGGACAGGCAGGCGTGGACAGAATCGGCGTGGAAAAAGCAGCCGGCAGCTGTTGGCAGCTGGCTAAGGCGTCTCACTGGAGGAGCCAGCCTCCTGCACCCTACATAGGACTATACTGAGGTCTTGATAATCGAATGAGATGCAAATTGGTTGTTCAGATGGTCATTTCCTCAGTTTTCCAGGCTGTCCATTTATGTTAATTTTTAATGCATGCAGGCAATATATGCTTAATTACGTTATTAATATATTGGAAGAGAACAGCGGACAGATCGTTCTAATTGGCATTTAACTAGAGCGTTCCGGCAAATTAGCCAAGACTATCTCCGGCGGCGGAAGGAGGGCAAGCCAATTAGTCCCAAGCACGGCCTATCAGGGCGGAGCTTGGTGCTGGAGAAGCCACACCCCAGTGCCCCTGTGCCAAGCTCCCTTGCAACCTGTCTGAGCTGCTGAGAGTTTACGACCACCCTTGGCTTCATAGCTAAGCTACATTTAGGTAAAAAAAAGTCCTAATTAGATCATGACTTCTGCCCGGTCCCCCCGACCACTACTGCCTTCAGAGTAGAAGGCCCGAAGTCTGGTGGCTTAGGAGCAGCACCTGCCTGAGTAGTTCAAGGGCCACCTGGCCTGAGCCCACCTTGCTGATGGGTCGCAAATTCAGATACCACAACAGCAGGCTCCTCACAGGGGATTCTAGGATCTTTCCATTCCAGTCACCCTACTCCTTGGGGTTGTATATAATTAAGGAAATGAACTCAATAAATAGAATCATTTATTAGCTCCTGCATTCATTTACTCGGATCACATTTTGGTCTGTGGGGCTAAAACATGCGCAGCTTAGAGATTCACACCTTGGGTCCCTGTTCTCAATTCTGAGCCCAGGGATGCCAGATTACAAAAAGCCAGCACCGTTTTGGCAACGGGGACTTTGCGTGTAAATAGCTGTTGAAAGACAGGGCTGGAGAAGCTAGTTTTGTTTTGAAGAACATTCTACCTGGGCCTTGAAGACTGTGCCACAGTTCTGCATACAGAGACATATTATAAGGGTTTCAGCCTGGCTTCTGAGGCCAGCACTGTGGTGTGGCAGGTAAATCTGCCCCTTGTGACACCAGCATTCCATATGAGCACTGCTTCATGTTCCAGCTGCTCCACTTCTGATGCAGCTTCCTGCTAATGTGCCTTGGAAAACCAGCAGATGGTGGTGCAAGTACTTGGATCCTTGTACTCACTTGGGAGACCTGGAAGAAGCTCCTGGCTTCAGCCTTGTTCAACCCTGGTCCTTGCAGCCATTTGGAAAGCGAACCAATGGATGGAAGATTTCTCTCTTTCAAATAAATATTCTTTTTTTTAAAAAAGGAACTTATCATCCTGTGCTAATCGTTCTATGAGAGGCCATCCTAGTCCAATACTCACTGCACAAAGAGAGTGGACATCCTCGGAGGAAGCTAATGCTTAGCCTGGTGCACCTGTGAAAGCGTGAGCTGAGCTGAGAGTGAGGAGCAATGCTGGGGAAGGTGTGGCAGCAATCCAATCCTTATAGGGTACTTGGTCTCGTATCAGCTTCATCTACCAGGAAGCAGCCAGGACACTCGTCTGGGGCTGCAGGAGCCATATCTGATGCTCAGTGAAGCCCCTGGGGCAGATAATGTTCATCCAGGAAGCTGAGACGATTAAAAAAGA